GAAACTAAGTTCAGAATAGTCAATATACTAATGAGAATCATTAATTTTCATTTTAACAATATTTTACCAGGTCTTTTTATCTGATTCTTTGAATAAAAAGAAAGTAATTAACATAGGAGAATATTTTAGTATTACAATTCATTGAACTTTAATAAATAAATATTTTTCTATTATCGAGACATCTCTTTTTTCACAAAGATAATTTCCTTATTTTCTATAATGGAATTAATTCATATACATTTGTTTTTAGTATATTACTTTGAATCTTGGCTAGAATACATGTCATATAAAGACGACAAAAATAGATAATATTAATATTTTAAAATAATCAATGTGCATCTAGGTATACAAATATTTAAAAAAATTAAATTTTTTGAAAACAAAACTATATAAAATATACATTCCTTTCAAGTAATATTAAATTTTATGAACTAAGTAATATAGATAATCAAATTTATTTTTTTCTATTTATTATACGACATAAATTCATTGTTTTCGACATAAGTAATGATTATATTTACAGAATTTCTATATGAATGAGAGATTATATAAATAGTTCTTTATATTGTTGGTCTGATTGTATTTTGCCAGGTTGTTAGATGCCGGTATCGTCTTAACATCCATTTATGAAAGTCAGGAAGTAATCCAAGAGACATCCATGGAAGTAATAGACAAACTAAATATGTGAGATCTGATATAAAATCTTCTTGAACTTCATATAAGTAATTTGATGGAGTTATCTGTTGAATAATACTACTAATAATCGTAGGTAACCATGTTAACAGATAAAGACTTGATACACCAACTAGTTGCAATGTCATACGTCGTTGTTTTGACCATGAAAGGGCTTTTTGTCTACGAGATTTTTGTTTAATAACTCTTATGATGAGTAATATATTGGCCAACATAATAATAAAAATTGGTAAACTGCTATTCACTATCCAGTCATACATGGCCAATATTTCATTATTTGAAAGAAAGCAAATAGTATCGCCACACATATTTAATGTAAAATTCCATTGTCCCTCATCACATGGGTAGAATACAACAGCACCCATATAGAAAACAGTTGGATAGATAATGCAGAATAGAAGTGGTAAATAGTATAGAAGATAGAGTTTCAATCGTATATAAAATAGATTTGGTCGAAAGACCAATGTATGTCGTTGAATAGATATCATAGCCACGAGAAAATTATTTATTGCTTCAAGAGTAAATTCAACATACATCCAAGTTTTACAATATGTGCCTGATGCTGGACTAATATTTTTGAGACGAAGAAAATTTATGGCCATCGGTATATTGACTAACAATTGAATAAAATTAGTAATAAATAAGATTAAGAGTGCTTGATATTGTAGTTTACGTAGTTGATTGCGATTAGTAATGAAAAATAGAAAAATGAGAAGAAAAAGAATAATTGCTGGAATTTGTAAGCAAAGAAGTAGATAGAATTTAACATCATATATAAGATATTGTTCAGCTGTCAATATAAACATCACGTCAATAATTAAAGTTGGCGTAAAAATGAAACGTGAGAAATGTTTTCTAATATGCTTTTACCTTAATAATATTATTCTCATGTTAAAGGCTTCACATCGTCTTTTTCTTTTTCCCTAGTCTGTCTCTCTTTCTATATATACATTTATGTCATTTGTATTAAAACATGACCGGAAACGTAAAATATAACTATGACTGACAAGGATCGTCCTTGAATTTCTTCTATTTAATTACTCTAACTATCTTCGACTTACCTCTTCGGAAAACATGATTTAACCAAAATATATAATCGTATATCTAATAAAAAAATACATTAGAAATTACAGATTAAAATATTAATATATTGCGTATCTTAGTAGAATTGATAATTATAGTTTTTTTCTCTGTAATTATGAGATGCATTTCTATCAAGTTTTTAGGGCATCGAAAAGCGTAGCTATCACATAGAAACATGTAGCCTCGAGAACGTTGATTTTTGATGAGAGATGAATGAATTATCATAACTCACTCATTCACATCTTGAATAAATTTAAAAAAATAGGTCAATCATTCGTAATGCTTTTAAAAAATGATGAACAAATATTTTTCAAAGTAAAACAGAAGAAGATATGAAGAATATTAGATAATGCAAAAGAAAATGACTTCCGCATTTGCTAGATATCAACAACAAGATTAATAAGTACAAAAATTTTTATGTGCTCAAACAAATACATATCATCTAATGATGTTAAATATGAATAGAGTCATACTGCACAACAAATTCAGAATAGTTTTTTTTCTAAAATAATATTATTTTTGTTGAGATGAAGTGAACTACTCTCAAGTAATCGATTATATAACTCGTAATCTTGAGAGATATTGCTTAAAAGTGATGGATTTTGTTCGTCAGTATTGTTTATGACTTTATCAGTCTTATTTCTCTTTTTCATTACATTATTCATAGATTAAAATAGTAACTGTCTAATTTACTATATTATACTAAAATTGAAGTTGTGAAAAATGGTTAACATTAGAATTATTCTTTATGCTATACAACTACTATCATAGTCAACATGAATTTGAGATGAACTTCTTTTTTTATTCCACACTCATATCGTCCAGAAACATTGTAATTTCTTATTCATTCTATTTACCACCTTGGCTGTAGACGTCTGTATACATAATAAATTAATCACTCACACCCACAGTCTCAAGATGGTTGTATTTTTCCAACTTCATAAAAGCTTTATGTCTTCAATATTATATGGTTGTTTTTTTACAATGTAGTAAGAGGTCTTCTGTCGAACGAACTCTATTGACAAATTACTTTAGTTTTAAAACACTTTGTTTTCTTTTTGGATTCATTATCAACATGTGATAACCTATATGCAACCGTCACTTGATGTTGACTATTTCAATGTTGGAGTTTTATTCGCGGAAAGGTTTTTTTTTGTCCTGTTCTGTTTTAACATAGGCGAGAGTAATGTAAAGTTTCATTCCTCTGCCTATTTGATAAAACTCATTGCGTTGGTTTCTTCTGTCAACATGGTTTTTTCCTTTTTTTAAGCATCACGAAGGACATGCATAAAAGAACGAGAAAAATATGTTTATCGTTTCATTTTTATTTTCTTCATCTCTCGACTTATTCTTACTGTGCAACTCATTGCACAACAACCATAGGATTAATTCATTGTTAGTTGAATTTGAATCAAACAAACATCGATTTTTTTTTGCAAATAGATATTGCACATGGCGCATGCGGGAGATGAGAGTAAATTACAGCGTTGTTTAGACGTGATTATTCAAACCGTCGAAAACACTATGAAGAAATTACATGGCGAAGAAGAATCAGGACGTTTTACTATGAATGGTGCATTGGATACCAACATCTACACATTTACTTTAGATGCTCATGAAAAAACTTTAATGGAGGAAATGAAACTTGAACTTGAAGACACCATCGAACAAACTCTTTCGCGATTATCGAAACTCTATCGTACCTATTTATTAGATTTTTTATATCAACACAGTTATGATCATGAATCTCGAGAGTTCACTAATCCTTTCAATGGTGGTATTCTCAAGGCTTTTGTCAATGATGCACAACAGATGTTAGCTTCATTGAAAGCTTTTCAAGCGGCTTTTAATGGTAATGAAAGTGATGTGAAAGATTTTTTGAAAAGATTTCCAACGATGAAGGATAGACCTGGCCTTCATAACACCACTCTCCTATATTCAGCGGCTCGAAACAATCATATCAATCTGGTTCGATATCTTGTTTTGAGAGCTCGATGTTCAGTTAATGCTCAGAATCAACAACATATTAAACGAGCTTTGTCAAAGTCAGCCAGAGATGATCCTGATTTCGTTGCAACTCCATCGGCTGGTTCAACTGCTCTACATGGCGCTTGTTTTGGTGGTCGTCTTGAGATGGTGAAATTCTTATTTGCACACGGTGCTGATTGTTTCCTCAGGAATCATGCTGATGAAACACCAATCGATAATGGCCGAACAAAACCAGATATTATCAAATATTTTACAGAAAATCTAATTCTAGGTTATTCAATCAAAACTGAGGAATTACCTCATATACCAATTCGTGAAGAAGATGAAGATTATATGGTCGATTGTATTTGGGAATATAAACCATTTAAAGAACAGAATTGGTTTCCTTTTTCTGCACCGGAATCGGAAACTCTTCAAGGATCACTGATAGTCAAACCAGAACAAGAATTTAAACGCGAGATTCATTTAAGAGTACGTGCTGGAACTTATGCGGTTTCATTAATTCAATTCCTACGTTCAGGAAAAGATGCCAGTTTCACTCAAAAAATCGCTTGGATCCGTTGTCGGGGTTCATCAATCTTAAATTTCAATTGTTATTGTCTATGGCAAATTATGTTTACCAAATATCCTCAAGCCGATACAGAACCATCGTTGACAATGTTAACTATACCAACGGCTTATAACAGTAACTTTAAAGTTCATCTTGATTCATGGTATTTCTGCGATGCCAAGACGAGTGCTCAGTTAGATCACACTATGAAATATCGACGAAAATACATTCGTTTAGTACTTTCTCATGTCTGTCAGGATGAATTGACTTTTGATTTGCAAACATTTTCGTTTAAAAATGACAATGGAAGTGTTACCGGTTGTCTTCGATGGATCCCGAAAATGATTTCGAATAATTCACGCAACAAAAATAAAATTATTGGTATTGATGATTTTCAAACATTGGCCAATTTAGATCCAATACCTTTAACTACGGCACGATTGATGAAAGTTTTACAAAAAGATGATAGCATGTCCATTGCTAATGATGATGATCCTCTCGGAGATGAGGAAGAATATGATTCCGACATGGAAACAGGTGATATTGAAGACAGCGGAGATAAATATAAAGCTATGAATGAGGTAAAGAACTTGACTGTAACATACTCACACACTTAGTTTTCATTTCAGGCACCCACCACTCCCATCAATCAATCTTGGTCCATACAAGATCTTGCTGATGGAACGCGAGATCCTCAAATGAATCCGATGTCGTCAAACCAGTCCGATGCTTCAGATGACTTGGATGACAAACGAATGGATGATTTTATCAATGAAGCAGCAGCACAAGTTCGTTCACCACAACAAAATCGTTTAGATGAAAAAGTTACTAGCGATACCTTAGATGAAAAAAATTCAGCTGCAGCTAAAGCCCAACTATTAGAATTAGAAAAGAAAAACGATAAATTGCAACAGGATTTACAAAAAGAGCAACAACGAATAGAACAATTATTAGATTCAGGTAGTAAACATGAACAAGAAGTGATGAGTTTATTAGATCAAATCGCTGAGATGGAACAACAACAGAAAGAAAATAAACGGCAACAAGACAAATTAAAAGAAATGAATAAAAGCATCAAAACAGTAGATTATAACAATATTCAACATGGCGTAATCCATCGATTTTTAACACCGAAAGATTCGATCATTATTAGTTATTTACAAGGTTTAATAAAGAATCCCGACCCATCATTCAACGATCGAGTACCGAAAATCATTTTTGCTGAACAAAATAATCAATATATCGTTACCGTCGTTGGTTTTCTTGCGCATCATCAAGGATTCAAAGATGTTCTGCAACGTATTTGGTCATTGATGAATATCGTCGAATCAGCCAAAGGTTTTTATCAACGAAATGTCAATCGACAAATCAAGAAATTGATGAAAGAAGGTGTATTGCGTGTAACATCAAAAACGCACGGTTGGAAAGAATACGTCAAAGCCTTTAGTCAATTATTAAAAACGTCTAGTGTCGAATATGAAAAAAAATTTCAAGATTATCTCGATGAACAAACGAATGCCTTGATTGATAAATGTATCGTGGGCAAATTACTCACACCTTGGGTAGAAATTCAAAAAGCAACTGATCAATTTTTACAAAAACATTCACTAATGAACGAAATCGAATCGATTAAACATGCGGCTTTAGAAGAATTTATCAAAGAGAATATCTTTATTCAACGTACAAAGTTGGAGAAAAAACCATCAGACGAATCTGTTACAGTTCTTCAACATTTCGTCAATAAAGTGAAGAACGAGTTTAAAACACAACCGATGTATCGAGGCGCTGAACTGAAACATTTCGCTTTGATTCCTAAACTTCTTCAACGTCTTGTTCTTTATTATGGTTGTTTCAAAGTTGAATTACCATTGTATGAATCATCAAGAGATTTATTAGATAAAATTGAGAAGAATGCTGTAACAACTATTTCGACATCCACTGGATCAGGAAAGTCCACATTATTACCGGTTTTATTAGTTGCTGAAGGTTATGATAAAGTCCTTGTCACTCAACCACGACGTTTGCCATGTCAATTGATTTGTAAACGTGTCAATGAAACGATGAGTGACGAATCCGGATCAATGAAAGATCCATTAGCTGGTTGGGCAATCAGTGGTACTGAAAGAAATCCAAACGCAAATATTCTTTACTTAACTGATGGTTTACTCAAAGAACGATTACTTTATGATTTAAATTTAATTACGACAAATACGAAATTCAATAAATCAGTGGTATTTTTTATCGACGAAGTACATGAACGCTCAGTTAATATCGATCTTTGTCTCTCTTTACTTGCTCGATTATTATCTACTCAACCTGAATTGAAAACGAAAATGAAAGTGATCATTTCATCGGCAACACTCGATGCTGCAGTACCTACATTATTTCGTAATATTCCTCAAATTAATCTCGCAGAATTCAAAATGCCAAACATGGGAACTTTACATAAAGTTACAGAAATCGAGCGACGTAATGAAAATGCTTTAGATATTGTTCAAGAATTGTGTAAAAAACGTAAACGACATGATCAAATTCTTTGTTTTGTTAGTTCAGTTGGTGAAGTAAATCAATCGTGTAAATTAATTAATCAAATCAGTCGAGAAACAATTGTTGCCTATCCATTAATTCAATCACAACATCCCAATGTTCAACAATACAACATCGAACATGGTACTGTGTTCTTTTCAACTACTGTTGCGGAAACATCATTAACATTTCCTTGTCTTAAATATGTTGTCGATACTGGAATGATTAATGTTCCTGTTTATGATTTTGACTTGAAACGAACTGTTCTTCGGGAAGTTCGTGCTGCTCAATCTACGATTAAACAACGATTAGGTCGTCTAGGTCGAACTCAACCGGGTGAATATTATTCATTGTACGATTTCAAAGTCGATGCTGTTCCTTATCCTATTCCTCAGATCTGTCAATCGGATCTGATGAACATCGAATTTTCATTAAGAAAATCTCCATTAAAAAAAGGATTTAACTATATGAAATCATTTCTACCGAATAAACCAACACAAAAAGCGATTGATACAGTCACTGAACAATTGAAAGATTTAGGTAAGAGATGCTAAATCAAAATTCCATGTGATTGATTACTTTTGTTTTTAGATATTTTGGAGAAAGGTTCTAATGATAAACTCACAAAACACGGTGAAGATTTGGCGAAACTACCTGATTTCGGTTCATTGGCCATGTCCAAAGCAGTCTTAGCAGCGCTTTGCATGTATAATTGTGGACGTGATTTGATCTGTTTATCAGCAATTTTGGGTGTTCTTAATACAACAGCTCTGTTAAAAAGTCTACCTCAACATCTGAAAAGTCCCGATGGAGACTTTATGACTTTATTAAAAGTAATGGACGAAATTCTGTTAGTAAGACAGAGTATTCCAGCAAAACAATTCAATCTCGATCAAGTATGTCAATCGAAAGGTTTAAAAGAAATTCAACATATTATTCGTCAAGCATTGAGACGTTATCAAACATTAGAAGTAACTTTTAAGCAATCACCTGATTTCTGTGCACGAGCTCAAATACAATCAGGAGATTGGGAAGTGGTTGCCAGATCGTTATTAGCAGGTTATTCGGACAATGTCTTTGTTTCGATGAAAGAATTACAAGATCGATCTCATTTATTTGTTCGTTACAATAATCGAGGTGATATAGCTAAACTTGATTTACAATCCACACTAACACGACCGATTAGCACAGCTCCAGTCTCGCTTGTCTTAGCTCGAGATATTCGTCATTCGACAGCTGTCCGAGCCACAGCAATCATTTCTTTTGTTGGCGAAATTAAAGCTGAATGGCTTGAATATATACTCGAACGTGAACTTGACTTGTCAAACGAGGAAGAAACTTATCTTAACACAGCAAATCGATATTCTACTGCTCATGCGAAATTCTCCAATCGAATCAATATGTCATTAGGTAGTCAAAAGATGAAATTCAAAGGTTCATCCGGTATTGTTCTCGATGCTGAATTACATCTTCGACAACAAATGATCTCCGAGTTGAAATTTAATTTGTCAAATACACCGAATCCAGGTGATGATTCAAATTTTACTCGAAATTTAGTACTTATTTTGAAAATGATCAATATTTTTAATCCGATGAAATGGCGATGGATTGCAGAAAGACAAGTAGAAATTACGATAAATAGCAATACGGCAACAAAAACTTGTGAAATTATCGTCAAAGGCAGAGATTCCGATAATAAAAAAGTGAAGAGAGAATTTGATGTATTTATTGGCTGGTTGCGAACTTGTGCCGTTATACGACATCCGAATGATTGTAAGTAAAGACTTTTCAATAAAAATTCATTTATAGAAATATCTTGATGTTTCTTTCAGATGTCAGTCCACGTGTACTTCGTCCTGCGATGCGTAAAGATTGTCGAGATATTGAAGAAAGAATTAGTCGTGTCACCGATACAAAACGAACACCAGTAGATTTATACAAGGGTGTCCGAGGTAGTCAAGCGACACGTGAAACACGTATGGAAGTGGTGGCATGGATTGCAATTTGCAAATTTGATTGCAAATTAGAAGGTGGTTTCGTTCGAGATTGGATTGTTGGTCATTACACAGCACGAATACCCGGTGTCACCGATCCTAAAACATGGATTGATACCAGTGGTCCTATGCCAGCTTTAAAAAAAGAAATAGTTCCATGTGATTTGGATTGTCATTTATCTTCGCATATGTATTTCGATATTGAAAAATTTCAAGATGAATTGTATAAGTATGGTATCACATGTAAGGTGGTACGTGATTATTGGCGATATGTTCTATTATTTGACGAGAATGAACCTACAGGTCCGTTTACCATGGATTTAATTGAACCACATGTCGCATTGACACATGATCGAATTGATTTGGATGTGAATAATTTATCATTGGAAAAAGATTATACACATGAACTTGGAATGCGTATTAACATTCAGCGAAAGCCTTATGAAATTGAATTGGAAAAAATTGTCAGTAACATTAAAAATAAACGCTTTAAAGTTCTTCGTCCTTTGGATCAATATGTTAAACAGCGTATCGAAAAAATGGAACAACGTGGATGGACACAAGATTTACCCGCGATATCAGTCATACCTGATCCACATTCCAAATATTATGCCATTTTAGTGCCATTACCACCGACTGCTACTCTCTATCTGGACGTTTCGACTAAGATGAAAAATACTATTCCTGCGGCCCAAATTATCTCGATTGAAGAAATTCGAAATCCATATCTAGAAGAAACCTATGAAGGTATGAAGAAACTTATCGCCAAACAATGTTCAAATCAAAATCCAAACGAACAAGAATTATTTCATGGTACAAAAATTAATGGAATTAAAGGTATTACAGAAGACGGATTTGATGATCGATATTTTAATAAAGGTGGTTTGTACGGTAAGTCGAATAATAATACTTGAACACTCATACCGATTTGTCATTTAGGTCACGGTGCTTATTTTGCTGATGATCCAAACAAATCGCACGGTTATACTGAAATAAATACAGCAGATAACACACGTGTAATGTTTTTCAACAAGGTAGTCTTAGGAAAACCAACAACTTTAACTGCTACAGACAATACGCTGGTCTCAGCTCCGCATCCATTTCATTCGGTAATTGGAAAACATGCAGCAATGACTGAATACATCGTTTATCGTTATGGTCAAGCTCTACCCTATTTAAAAATCGTTTACAAAGCCTAACAATCAGCTATTGACATTCACTTTTATTGGTATATACTGAATAAACAAGATAATAATTTAAATATAAATGAAAGTTTTTGTTGAATAAATAATTAAATAAAATATATTATCTAACATTTTGATAAATTAAGTCATTATTATTAAGGACTTATATTTAAATGAGCAATAATTTATTTAAATTAACAATAAATCGTATGTATAGGGAGCAATATAAATCCAGGTGTTACAGTATCATTCCTCAGTTTTGGATATTTTATTGTGTTTCTTTTGATTGTATCGTATAGATGGCTTATCTAGGATCTCTGAATATATATTGTTTTTTTCTTTTCATCTAAGGTATTTTCTAAAGGTTGATTCGTTCAAATACTTTTCTTTTTCCTTGATTTTCTCCCATTGTTTTTGAGTTTTCTCATCCTGTTTATGTGTATATACGTATATATATACGTCGTAGACCGATTCTTATGGGCAATGGAGAGATAAAAACTGGAATTTTTCTTTTTCTTACTACTAAAATATGAAATTAATATTCCTGTTTAATAGATTAATTATTACTCATTTCATAATTTAAAACTGCTCGAATAAGATTTTTTTATTACTCGAAGATTATTACTAAGGGTGGGTGTGGGTGTGGGTGCCATTTTTTATTCGTCTTACACCCACATCCACCTATCTTCTAGTAAAACTATTATAGAACGATGAGTAGAGCTGAAATTCTTACTGGTGTAAGGATGACTCATACTCAGTATACCCAAAAACGTTTAGCTCAAATGAATATAATAAAGCGAAGGAAAGGTTAAGAGACATCTTAGTTTTTAGAGAGATAAACTTGACATAAAACTGTCGACTACTTCAGCTTTTATGACTTATAAATAATCGTTATTTTCTACTGTTGTCTGCTCATTAAACATGAATAAAACTACCCATGACGATGTTGTACGTATCAGCAGATGTGACGGATTTTTTTTCTCTCTTATTGTGGTGCGAACGAAAAAATGATTTTTTTTTCGTTCTCCTTGGAGTAACGTGGTGAAAGCTACGGGGAGTCGTTACATTATGGGATAGAAATATAACTGAAGCGTATTCATTTTATCGATTAATGGTAATTGTATGCATGTCTAAACTTACAATAGCTAACAGCAATGTATGCGCCCATCTCTTCGCAGGAACAAGGGTAAGGTGGTATATTTTTTTTCAAAAATTTGAGCATCTAGTTATCTTTGCTGATGGTATTGCACTTTATTATAGTTCTCCATATCGAAAATCACATCGTTTTCATACAAAGCATACGCTTATATACCCGTTCATTGCAAATTAGTTTACTACTTGAAATAGATTTCAATTTGTCAATTTCGCTCTAACTTACAAGAGTATACACATTGATAATATACGAGAATCATTAATGTTTTTTCTTTAGATTTATTAGAAACAATGTCATCCGATAATGAGCTATTTCGTGGACGTTTTGATAATGTCCCCGATCGCAAACCTATATCGGTACGAATCTTCATTAGTTCCACATTTGCAGGTTAGTTCTTTGCTTTTTTATATCAAAACGTTGAAAAAAAAACACATTCATTTACAGATACTATCGAAGAACGTAATGTATTAATGGAAAATATTTATCCAAAATTGCGAGATTATTGCCTACAGACATATAACATACCATTTCAGGTTTATTATCTAATTACTATTAATAAAATATGGACACTGATATTTTTTAGTATTCTGACATGCGTTGGGGTGTTCAAGATCATGCTTCAGATGATCATTCAACGGTCGATGTGTGTCTACAAGAACTAGATCAATGTTGTCGTCTTTCACTCGCTACTAACTGCGTGGTACACTATGTTTTTCTATCGAACTAGAAATCATAATGTAATGATTGATTCTTAGGTTCTACTCAGCCATCGATATGGATGGCGATCATTACCCAATCGCATCTCATCAGATCTGTTAAATAAACTCAAAGAAATTGTATCTGTCGACCAACCTAGTACTCTCATCGATAAAGCATATGTTTTGGACGACAACTTTGTTGAATCAGTTTATGTTCTTCGACCAATCGATCCAGAGAAAAGAGAAGAATGGAAAATAATGGAAAAAGATTTAACTACAATTTTACGTCGAGCTTCTGATATTTGTTTAGAAAATAAAACAATTACTCAAAGTGAACGAAATGAATTTCATATATCTGGTATGATATGTTTCGACTTATTTTATTTTATTTTATTTGAGAATATCTTAGTAACGGCTAAGGAAATCATTCGAGCATTAGAAAATAATGCAATTGATCATCAACGAATGGTTTCATTCTTTCGAGAGATCGAAGATATTGATCAACTTGATACTCGTCTGAAATCCAAATTAGCTGATACCGATAATGAAACAGAAGTATTATTGAATGAGATTAAATCAAATATCCGAGAGAAACTTCCACGTGAAAATCAATTTACCTATCGAGTTTGATCGGCTGAATTCTCTAGAATCAAAATTCATTCTTGCCTTCTATTTTCTTTAGGTAAACTGGAAGGATGATTCGCATCGAATCAATTATTTGATCAAATTTCAAAATGATTTCTACAGTGTTATCAAACAACAAATCGATTATTATATGACAAAAATTCGTACAAAAGATGTTTTGTATGATGAAATTCTCGAACATGCTATTCAATGTCAAATATTGAATGAACGATATTTTCCACGAGATGAAATCCTTGAGAAAGTAATCATCATTTTTTTAAATCTTATTTCAATGTCGTATTTTGTTATTTGAATAGGTTCGAGCATTTGTTTTGTCAGATGGATCACAACCATGCATAATCTATGGTAAATTAGGTTCAGGAAAATCATCTATTGTGGCTCAAATAGCGATTAAGGTCAATGATTTGATTGATTAATAGTTGTATTTAATAAAGAATAAATTTAGGTATTGGAATGGTTTCCAAACTCAAGTTCAGTATCGATCATTATTCGTTTTCTTGGTGCGACGCCATTATCAAGTGATATTCGTCGACCACTAATCTCGATTATTCAACAAATTTGTACGATCTATCATCTTACGCTAATGACACCTGTTCAAGATTCTACAAGAATTGAAGAACTAAAAGAAATATTGCAGAATCTCTTCACTCAAATTCCTATCAATGAAAAATTAATTCTTCTTTTTGATTCGATCGATCAATTACAAGTCAAAGATTATAATTGTGAAAAATGGCTTCCAATCTATTATCCAGTGAATATTAAATGTATTCTATCTACAATACCAATGATTGTTGAAGGTAGTGGAGAACAAAAAGTCGAATATAAAATTCTTGACGGATTGATATCTCTCTTCACTGATAGTATTCTCATTGAGATCAAAGAATTCGATAGAGATCAAGCACAGAAAGTCATCTCTTCATGGTTAGGACGTGATCGTCGACGTCTTTCAACAACTCAAATGACTTGGCTACAGACAAAACTCGAGGCGCATATTTCGAATCGACATGATCCAGAACCTACACCATTATTTCTTTCATTGATCTATCAAATAACCCAGTCATGGCATTCATTTACTAACAAGTCTGATCGTGATTTTCTTCGAATACAAACTACACAAGATGCCATTAGTTATTTGTATAATCAATTATCTAGAAAACATGGAGAAATTTTATTTAAACGAGCGATGACATATTTGAGATTATCAGGTGGTCTCAGTGAATCCGAACTAGAAGATATTCTCAGTACTGATGATCAAGTTTTGCAATCAGTTTTTACTCATTATCTTCCTCCAACGAATATATTTCGATTACCAAGTACTCTATGGATTCGTATTCGTAACGATATGCACAAATATCTCATTGAAAAAGAAATCGATAATACACTAATTATTTACTTGTAAGGAGATTTATTTAAAAAAAAACAGCCTTCTATATTTTCTTCTTTTATTTACATCTAGTTATCATCGTAGTTTTCAACAACAATCGATACTTAATATTAATCAAGAAAAGTCTATTGAAACTATTCGTTGTGCTTATTTCGCTGGTCCTATTGGCAATTTTCCAAATTTATCTGATCAATTATTTAAAATTCAATCGAAAAGTTTAATCAAGAAGATGGATGGCGCTACATCATTGGTTGTTAATCGATGTCTAACAAAACAGCGACCGTATATTTTAAATGAAAATCGAGAAGAATCTATATTTAATATGCGACGACTTAATCAACTTTGCTTAAATTTAGATATCTGTCGACTTGAACCATGTTTTCTCTATGATTATAATTTTATGTGGACTTTTCTTCATTGTTATAAAATGAGCGATCGATTCGGAGCTGATTCTTCGTATTCCGAAATTCGGTTTCTCCTAACACAATACAAAAGTTGTTCTACCATTGTCAATAAATATCCAGAAAATTTCGCCTTTGAAATTCTATCTCGTCTAACATCTTTTATCGATATACTTCCCGATTTTACCTATCATTTATTTCAAGAATGTCAAAATAATTGTATGTTTCGCATTTTGGACAATGGTAATACACGAGTATTGAATACAATGATGAATACATATAAAACAGGCATCATTAATGCTATGTCTTTAGGTTATAGTACTCTTTATGTATTACTACAAGAAAAAGTTCTTGTTTTTCGATTTTATCCACAAGATTGGCTTGGAAAAATCTTTGAATATAAATTACCGTCGAATCAATTTACTTCGATTAAGTTTGGTACTACAAATATATGTTTCTATTCATGCCAATCAATTTTAATTTTTCAAAAATTTGATCATCAATTTGTACTTCAATTAAATTTCAATCATATTATACATGTTGATTTTTTTTACATGGAAGGATTACTTGTCTGTACGAAAGATAATCAATCGATTGATATATGGCATTGTGTAAATAAAACATTGATTGAACGATATTTATTTGATGTTCCTATTGTAGAATGTTCAACTATTGAACGATATATGGGCGTAACCATTAGAGTGACACTTGAAAATGGTTTAATACATTATTTAATTGCTAGAGATAATCAAGGAAAAGTTTGTTTTCAAATTATTGCAACATTAACTCAAAAATTGGCTGATCGAAATATATTTCTAAATTTCAATACTGATGTTTATTATTGTGAGAATCAGTCATATATTTATTTGTACCATTTCGAACGTCCTGAAAATGATCGTCTTGAAAAAATCGACAACTTACCTTTATTAAATAGTACGATCAATCGTCAAAGTTTCTTCACCGATCGACACGAAAGTGCATTGATCTGGTTAGCTAATGGTTCTGTTGTTGTTTTTCACTCTTGTGGTCAATATTTTCTTATTCCTGGTGAATATCATGAACTATATACGAAATGTCAAGCAAAACGAAATTTTATTTGTTGTCTCAATCGAAATCAATCAAGAATTGATATTTACGAATGGAAACTTCATGAATCTGTTCATACATACCGTTTACTTGCTAAGCTACAACTTAATGAACAAATTTTTCATTGGGCATGCCAGATAGGTTAGTCTTCTTTATCATTCTACAGATTTTTGTCAAAATGTTATCTTTGTTAAAGATGCAGAATGGGGTTTCATTATCTATTGCACATTCGCTAATGGAGAATTACGTAAGTACAATGTAACAATGATGACCTATCTGCCTGCTAAGACAAGATTACAAATTTCGATTGATCGCTTCGAAGTTCAAGGTGATTTTGTTATTGCATTAGACAAAACAAAATGGTGAGTTCTATTGATAAATTTGATTAGCAAATAAAATAACAATTATTTTGTAGTATTTTGAATGTTTTCACGTTTGATAAACGATTATCTCTTGTCAAACAAATACAAATGCCTTTTATGATTACACAATTAGCTATGAACACATCCTATTTACTTGTATTGAATTCCAACAATACTCTGTTTATTTATTCGATTAGTTCAACACCAGTACTTTTCTTTCAAACAGATGAATTCCAATATCATCCTGTCAAAGTATACTCGATTGGCTTATTATTCTTCATCATTGACGCTGAGACCAATCTACTCTTTCAAATCGATACAGAACATTCATTCAAGCTACAAAATCTTTCACATTTCAATTTCTCCTGTCATTCCCTATTAAGTACCATCAGTGTTGATCGAAAGAAATTATTTATTTTAGCGGATGATTATTCTGTATTGGCTATGTGGAATGCTGAGAAGAAAGCTATGGAATTGATTTCCATTTCGCTCGATAATAACATTAAAATAAGAAAAATATCTGCGCTGCAAAGTGTTTTGGTTTTCTACGATAATAATCAGCAAGTTTATTGGTGGAATATTGAGCGTCAACAGATCATTCGTACTCTTCATTATGATCCGTGCAAAACAAATGCCAATTGTCGAACCCATGAAGAGCATACTGATAATAATGATAAATATTTGACAGAAGATGGTAAATATCTTTTTGAAATATCTCAGAAAGAGTCCTTACTATTAATGTATCGTGTTGATGATAGCCAACTTCTGGAAAAACTTTTCATTGATAGTCTTTTGCCACATATTGAAGTTTTCAAAGATCGTCTAATTCTCTGTTCCGATAATGAACTTATTTTATTATGCATTAACGAAAGAGATTCATCACCATTGATACGGTAATAAACATGTTCACTTCTTTCTTATGCTCTCTATTTTAATGAGATTTGTCTTTTCAGAAATTCCATCGATTCGAAACGACGTTGTGCCTTGTTCGAACAGGTCAATTGGATCGATTGTCATAACGACGAACAATGGATAACAACAAATTCTATTTGTCTCTATGGTAACCACTGATGTATTCATTATCCATACAATCAAACAACAACGATATATTTGTCAGTTCTTTTTATACATCTGATCATATTCATGGATGTTATATAAACCATAGTCATTACTTTCATTGATCGTAGTTCTTTAGATCATATTCGTGTAGAATCTTTATAAATATGAAATATAAACAATATGTCATATTTTCATCTTTGACATTCACACTCACCATCAAAATGATATTTGATAATGATCAACTAATTTGTTCTATTTAGATTCGAACATTTTTGCAAAAGAAAAGAAACTTAATTATGTTTGTTAGTGACATCTTCTAATCATAGCAAAATTTATTTTTGGATTTAATTAAGACATAAAAAAATTGATGTATAACTAATGTGTTAAATGTTTTTAATTAAATCTGCTGCTCTTTCTGCTATTGCAATAGTTGGAATATTTGTATTGCCTGATACAATACTTGGCATGATACTTGCATCAATAACACGAAGACCCCTTACACCTTTAACTTTTGTATCCGGTGTGACAACTGTCATTTCATCTTGTTCTTTTCCCATTTTACATGTTCCCACTGGATGAAAGATTGTAACACTATATTTTCGAACATATGATTCCCAAAATGTATCTTCATCATGATCTATTATTTCATTTCCATTCATTTCTTTCGCTAATGATTGAAGTATATCTTTTAGTGGTTCAGTGTGACAAATTTTTTCAACTAATTTACATCCTTCAACTAATATTTGAACATCTTGTTTATTTTCTAAGTAATTTGGATTGATAATTGGATGTATAAATGGATCACGACTTGCTAAAGTTATTTCACCTTTTGATTTTGGATGAAGTAATGTAGGAAGACAGAAAACTGTCGCTTGTTGCCGATCAGAAAGATGTGAATCCAGATATTGTTCATATATTTCTGGTTTCAAATTTGAATTCTTTATAAGTTTAGTATCAGCTGTTGCTGGAAGTAAATGTATTTGAGTATCAGGCACTTGTGTTTTATCTAGTAGAATAAAAGTTTCATAAAAAAAAAAATGAATACTTTAAAGTGTATGCCATAAAAGTGCATTCAGTCAGTTTGAAAGTATAGTTACCAGTTTTATTGAATTGATACCATCCCTGTGATTCAATAATACATGATGTGAGAAGACCTTTTCCTTCAGTTGCCCATCGTTGTAGATTTTCCTGCGTCAAATCACGAGCAGAAAGTGTCGATATTTTACTTAAATAAATAAGAATAGTTGAAAGATGATCTTGTAAATTTTTGCCAACACCAGGTAGATCAACTATAACAGGAATTTCATGTTTTTCTAATTCATCACGAGGACCGATTCCAGATAGAAGAAGTATTTGTGGACTACCGATAGCACCAGCAGA